TTGTTCTACTATAAAGACACATGCACACGTATGTTCATTGCAGCCCTGTGTACAATAGCAAAGACCTGGAACCAACCCAAATGCCCACCAGTGATAGACTGGACAAAGAAAAGATGGCACATATACACCATGGAATACTATGCAGCCACAAAAAACGATGAGTTTGTGTCCTTTATAGGGACTTGGATGAATCTGGAAACCATCATTCTCAGCAAACTGACACAAGAACAGCAAACCAAACACCGCATGTTCTCACTTATAGGTGGGTGTCGAACAAGAGAACACATGGACTCAGGGAGAGGAGTATCACACACTGGGGCAGTTGGTGGTGGGGGGGCTAGGGGAGGGACAACAGGAGGTGGGAAGGGTGGGGAGGGATAACATGGGGAGAAATGCCAGATATAGTATGCACCTATGAAACAACCCTACATGACCTGCACATGTACCCCAGGAAGTAAAATAAAATAAAAAAGAAGAAAGAGCAGAAATATGGAAAGATATAATAGATCTATTCTTTTCTTTGTGAGATTTACAAATCACATTTTTAATGATTGAAACAAAAGTTATAACATCACCTAACACTGAAGACAATAATATTTAAAGTTGGAGAAATTAAAGGGACCTAAATGGAAGTGATGTTTACATATTTCCATTGAAGGAGTAAAATGTTCATGCTGGAGACTGTTCTAAGTCACATATATATGCTGCCACACGGACAGAATTTATTACAAAAACCATACAAAGGGCTACACTCAAAAACTCTGTAAATAATTTTTTTTTAAAGTTTAACCCAAAGGAAGGCAAGGAACGAGAAACAGAGGAATGAGACCAGAGAAAACAAATCATAAAATACTGGAAGTAAGTGCTAGGATGTCAGTAATTACTTTTTAAATTAATGGTCTAATTACACCAATCAAAAGACAGATACTGGCAGAGTAAATTAAAAAAAAAAAAAAAGAACACAACCAAACTATATGTTACTTTCAAGAAACTTGCTTCAGGTTCTATATAGGTAGGTTCAACTAAAAGGATTTGTTGAAATATATCACGCAAAAATCACCAACAGAATATTAGTAAAATGAATCCAGCAATATATTACAAATTATACACTACAATCAAGGGGAATTTGTTCCATGTATACAAGAATATTTGTATTTTTGTTGTTGTTGTTTTTGTTTTTTTGTTTTTTTGTTTTTTTATTTTGAGATAGAGTCTCCCTCTGTCACCCAGGCTGGAGTGCAGTGGTGAAATCTCAGCTCACTACAACCTCTGCCTCCAGGATTCAAGAGATTCTTCTGCCTCAGTCTCCTGGGTAGCTGGATTTACATAGGCACCAGACACCATGCCCAGCTAATTTAGTATTTTTAATAGAGATGGGGTTTTGCCATGTTGGACAGGCTGGTCTCCAACTCCTGACCTCAAGTGAGCCACTCTCCTTGGCCTCCTAATGTGCTGGGTTTACAGGTGTGAGCCACCACACCTAGCTATTTCTTCTTATGTATTGGAAATGTTTGTTCATTTGTTTCAAGAAATTTGTAATTAATTGTTTCAACATTAGAAAATATATTAGTATAATCCAGTATATCAACAGGCCAGATTCCACACCATTCATAATTAAAACTCTCAGCAAAATAGAAATAGAGGAGAATTTCCTTAATAAGAACAAGGAAATAAGAGAGGACACAAACAGATGGGAATACATTCCATGCTCATGGTTAGAATGAATCAATATCGTGCAAACAGCCATACTGCCCAAAGTAATTTATGGATTCAGTGCTATCCCCATCAAGCTACCATTGACCTTCTTCACATAACTGGAAAAAAACAACCTTAAACTTCATAAGGAACTAAAAAAGAGCCCACAGAGCCAAAAAACAAAGCTGGAGGCATCAGGTTACCTGACTTCAAACTATACTACAAGGCTACAGTAATCAAAACAGCATGGTCATGGTACCAAAATAGAGATATAGACCAATGGAACAGAACAGAGGCCTTAGAAGTAATGCCACGCATCTACAACCATCTGATCTTTGACAAACCTGACAAAAACTCGCAATGGGGAAAAGATTCCCTGTTTAATCAAAGGTGTTGGCAAAACTGGCTAGCCATGTGCAGAAAGCTAAAACTGGACCCCTTCCTTACACCTTATACAAAAATTAACTCCAGATGGACTAAAGATTTAAACATAAGACCTAACACCATAGAAAACCTAGAAGAAAACCTAAGCAAAATCATTCAGGACATAGGCATAGGCAAGGACTTCATGACTAAAACACCAAAAGCCAAAATAGACAAATGGGATCTAATTAAACTTAAGAGCTTCTGCACAGCAAAAATATATTATTAGAGTGAACTGGCAACCTACAGAATGGGAAAAAATTTTTGCAATCTACCCATCTGACAAAGGGCTAATAATCAGAATCTACAAAGAACTAAAACAAATATACAAGGAAAAAACAACCCCATCAAAAAGTGGGTGAAGGATATGAACAGAAACTTTTCAAAAGAAGACATTTATGCAGCCAACAAACATATGAAAAAATACTCATCATCACTGGTCATTAGAGAAATGCAAATCAAAACCACATTGAGATACCATCTCACGCCAGTTAAAATGGCGATCATTAAAAAATGGGAGACAACAGATGCTGGAGAAGATGTGGAGAAATAGGAACACTTTTACACTGTTGGTAGGAGTGTAAATTAGTTCAACCATTGTGGAAGACAGTGTGGTGATTTCTCAAGGATCCAGAAATAGAAATTCCATTTGACCCAGCAATCTCATTACTGGATATATGTTCAAAGAATTATAAATTGTTCTACTATAAAGACACATGCACACGTATGTTCATTGCAGCCCTGTGTACAATAGCAAAGACCTGGAACCAACCCAAATGCCCACCAGTGATAGACTGGATAAAGAAAATGTGCACATACACACCATGGAATACTATGTAGCCATAAAAAAGATGAGTTCATGTTTCTTGCAGGTACATGAATGAAACTGGAAACCATCATTCTCAGCAAGCTGACACTGACACAAGAACAGAAAACCAAACACTGCATGTTCTCACTCATAAGTGATTGTTGAACAATGAGAACACATGGGCACAGGGAGGGAAACATCACACACTGGGGCTTGTTGGGGGGTGGGAGAGCTAGGGGAGGGACAGCAGGGGGTGGGAGGATTGGGGAGGGATAACATTAGGAGAAATACCTAATGTGGATAACAGGGGGATGGATGCAGTAAACAACCATGGCATGTGTATACCTATGTAACAATCCTGCACGATCCACACATGTACAACAGAACTTAAAGTATAATAATAAAAAAAGAACATCAATAAAACACATACAGCTAAAGTCATACTTAATAGTGAAATACTAAATACTTTCCCCTTAAAATTAGAAGAGACTCAAGGACATCTATTCTCACCACTCTGATTCAATATACTACTGGAAGTTCTAACCATGGCAACAAGGCAAGAAAAGAAATAAAAAGCATACAGATTGGGAAGGAAGAAATATAACTTTTTATTTGTACGTAACATATTATCTACATTTTAAAAAAACCCAGGAGATCTACAAAAAAAACCTAGCACATGAAAAGAGGGTCAACGTCGTAAAATTCAACATCTCTTCATGGTAATAACTTTCTATAAACTAGATATTGATGAAACATATATTAAAATAATAAGAGCTATTTGTGACAAACCCATAGCCAATATCATACTGAATGGGCAAAAACCCGAAGCATTCCCTTTGAAAACAAGCACAAGACAGGATGCCCTGTCTCACCACTCCTATTCAACATAGTATTGGAGGTTCTGGCCAAGGCAGTCGGGCAAGAGAAAGAAATAAAGGAAATACAGATAGGAAGAGAGGAAGTCAAATTGTCTCTGTTTCCAGATGACATGATTGTATATTTAGAAAACCCCATCATCTCAGCCCAAAAACTCCTTAAACTGATAAGCAACTTCAGCCAAGTTGAGATTTTGTATCCTGAGATACAGAATCAACGTGCAAAAATCACAAGCATTTCTATACTCCAACAATAGACAAGCAGAGAGCCAAATCATGAATGAATTCTCATTCACAATTGCAACAAAGAGAATAAAATATCTAGGAATACAGCTATCAAAGGACGTGAAGGACCTTAACATCACAAACCGCACAGTCCAATCATTCTACTTGTAGATATTTATTCAGGAGGAATGAAACCCGATGTCCATGCAAAGGCTTGTATGCAAATGTTTGTAGCTGTATTTATAATTGCCCAAACCTGAAAACAACATTAACAGGTGAATACGTAAAGAAATTGTGGCACTTATTAGTAGTATACAGTAGAATCCAGCTCAGCAATAAGAAACTCATGAACTATCGATTCATGCTACAATGCGGGTGGATCTTAAAATAATCATACAATTGAAGATAGTCAGAAAAAAAGGAATTTCTGTATGATTCCATTTATATAAAATTATTGAAAACTGAATCTAATGTGTAGTGACAGAAGGCCATTGAATAGTTCCTTGAGAATTGAGGGAGAGGGCTTGTAGGAGGGTGGGCAGATTACAGTGGGGCACAAGGGAATTTGGGGGCAATGAATATGTTCATGACCTTGATTGTAAGAATGGTTTCACAGGTGTGAATGTCAAACTTTTCAAGTGGTACATTTTACACATGTTCAGTTTATTGTATGTGAATTATGTGTAAATAAAGCTGGCTGAAAATGGGATAAGAACAACATAACATTCTTTAGATTCTTCTTTTCCTGATACAGTTGGCTTTCTGTTGGAAGTGTTTGAAATTTGCTGGCCGGGTGCTGTAGTCCCAAGTACTCAGGAGATTAGAACAAGAGCATGACTTCCGCCCAGCAGCTCAAGACGAGTGTGGGCAACGTAGTGAGCCTCTTGTCTCTAAGAAGAGGAGGAAAGGAACGTGTTTGGAATTTGAGCTCTTTTTCTCTAGTCTCACAGCATACTCACTTCTCATTTTGGCAGAATGAAGATCTGACCCTTTTAGATGAGGAAATGGAACAGGGTTACCGTGACCTGGAGAAGATACAAGACCTTTATTCCGAGTCCTTGATCATGGACTGGTGGTACAATGCAGGAAAGGATGGGGACAGCAAGTGAGCACCCCGGCCCGCCTGTCTCCCCGCGCTGAGGCCTCTCCAGAGCTGGGCCTGCCCCCTGGGCCCTCGTCCTTTCGGAAATGCCTCGTGAAATTTCTTTTAGTGGGGGAAACGATGAGTTTGTGTCCTTTATAGGGACATGGATGAACCTGGAAACCATCATTCTCAGCAAACTGACACAAGAGCAGAAAATCAAACACCGCATGTTTTCACTCATAAGCGGGTGTTGAACAATGAGAACACATGGACACAGGGAGGGGAGCACTACACACTGGGGTCCGTCGGGGGGAAATGGGGGAGGGACGGGGGGGTGGGGAGGTGGGAAGAGATAGCATGGGGAGAAATGACAGATACAGGTGAGGGGAAGGAAGGCAGCAAAGCACACTGCTATGTGTGTACCTATGCAACAATCTTGCATGTTCTTCACATGTACCCCAAAACCTAAAATGCAATAAAAAAAAATTTCTTTTAGTGAAAAGAATCACATAGCATGACTAAGTTAGGATTTTTTTAAGCAAAGAGAATAATTTAATAACTTTAATCGTGGGCTTGAGAAGGCCACCTATTTCCCTTTATGTTCTCCACACAGTGTGGACAGGTCCCCAGACCCAAGCAGTGACAGCACAGACAGGAGCGCTATGTGGGGAAGGAGCTCTCCCTCAGGGATCAGGAGGCCTGGACTTCCCTCTGTGTGACTGTGGTGGGACCTGGACCTCCCTCCACACCTCTCCACTGCGTGGGTCTCGTTTCCTCATCTTTAAAATAGGGGCCATGGTGGTGGGGTTTGGGATAGATGATTTCTCATGTCTGTTCCCATCCTATATTCTAATATGTTTCTAATTAGTGCTTTGGAAATCTTATTAAGATGATTTAATGTTTTCCAGATATTCAAGTGTCACAGCCTACCCTGCCTGGAGGGTGTCTTTTTTTTTTTTAATTGCATTTTAGGTTTGGGGGTACATGTGAAGGACATGCAAGATTGTTGCATAGGTACACACATGGCAGTGTAGTTTGCTGCCTTCCTTCCCCTCACCTGTATCTGTCATTTCTCCCCATGCTATCTCTTCCCACCTCCCCAACCCCCATCCCTCCCCCATTTCCCCCCAACGGACCCCAGTGTGTAGTGCTCCCCTCCCAGGTGTCTTTTTTATTTGAAAGAATGATAGAAAATTGGGGGAAAATAAAAATACATTTAATAGTCAGAATTTCTTGTTCAACAAAATTTCCTGTCTTCCTATTAGCAAATTAAGCATTTGTATGGGCTTAGGGTAAGGCATGACAGTGGAATCAGTAAAAAGAGGTAAATGTTATAATGGCCATCTTATAATGAGATTTTATGGCATTGTTATTTAAGTATTTGGGAAAGCACAGACAGAGCTTCTAAACTTCAAACATTTGAACAAATAAACTAAGAATCAAGTCAATGAGAAGCCTTTTATTGAGTACAAACCATGCAGTAAGAGAACTGAGGTGCACAGACGAATGTCAGCCTGGTTCTTTCTGCCATGGGGGGCACAGTGCAGGCACAGACTCACATAGGGCTATGGAACTCGGGGCAGGTGCTTCATGGAGGCGTTGAGGGGCAGTGCAGGAGGGAGGGCACACGTCACAGTGTTGGAGCAGAAGGTTGCTCTAGCAGTTTTCCTTTCTATGGCTGCTGTCTTGAGAGCTTCAGAGAAGATCATGTCTGGGAAAACACACAAGCATTTCTGGAATCCCTCCATTCTCCAGAATGGTTCCCTGCGATCTGGTGCCAGCATGGGAGGTTCAAGGCAGGAGTTCCTGTCTCTGGCTTTTATAAGTGCTTGCTGGTAGACACTTGGTTAGAGAATGGGTTTCTGCAGTGCTTTCTTGCTTATAACTGGCTTCCCCTCCTATGAATCCTCACGTCAGCCCCATGTAGTCACTATATAGGTGTTCAGGTGACGTTTCCTGCAGTTGATAGATGAGGAAAGTGAAGAAGTTTAGAGAGGACTGAGTGACTTGACTGAGGTCACAGAGCTGGGAAGGACCAGACCTGTGATGTGGGCTGTATCTTCTGACTCGAAGGCTAGGTCCTGTCCACTCTTCTGCATGGGTCAGGGATAAATGACTACTTTTATATTAACCCAGATGGGGGAAGGCTTACTTCTTTAAGTTTGCAGTGTTCAACATGAATGTATTGACTTAACTCTGCCTTCTTGATGAAAATTTTCTTTTCTCTCTCTTTTTTTGCTCTACTTTTAATCTAAATCAAAACAGGCATCAAAAAGAAATCTGTTCTATGGTTTCAACCCCGGAAAAATGTGCAAAGCCTCAATCTGATGTCAGTTCAACACAAACTTCATCCCTGAATATGTTGAAGGGACCATGGAGCCTTTCAGATCAAAAGGTTCAGAAAAAGAAAGTCCTCCATGCAGGTATCAGTGAACAAAATGGCTTGACTCTTTTGCTGGTTTCTCTTCAAGGCAAGAAGATAGAATAAACCTAAACCCACATAATATTTTTAAAAAGCACTAAACCTATGGGTTTTTTAAATTAACATTTTTATTAAAATTATTATATATTCACATGATCTAATATATGCCTACCCTTCATCCTCTTTTTCCCAATGGTATGTAACATCTTGCAAAATAATAGTACAACATTGAAACCAAGATATTGATATTGATGCAATCCACAGGTCTTATTCAAATTGTCCCAGTTTTACTTGTACCCGTGAGAGAGAGAGAGAGAGAGACTGAGAGTGTGTGTGTGTAGTGTGTGTGTGTGTCTGACGGTCTGTGTTTAGGTCTACACAGCTTTATCACGTGTAGGTTTGTGTTTCTATCACTAGAGCTAAGGTACAGAAGAGTCCCATCATCAAGGGGATCCTTCATGCTGCCCTTTTATAACCACACCCACCTTCCTTGCACACTCTTCCTACAGCTAAAATCAAGCTAAATGGTGACAGACTGAATTATTTCTGCCTAAAATTGGGGAAAAGGATGCCTACTCTCACCACCCTATTCAACATAGCATGGGAAGTCTAGCCACTGCACCAAGGCAAGAAGAAGAAATAAAGCCAGAAAGGGTAGAGAGGAAGAAATAAAACTGTCCTTATTTGCAGATATCATATCACCTGTGTAGAAAACAGCAAGGGATGTACCAAAATTAGCTACTGAGTTGAGCAAGGTGTCTGACTACAAGACACACAAGGACAATTGCATTTTGATATACTAACAGTGAACAGGCAGCAACCTATATTAAATTCATCCATAATTGCTCCAAATAAAATGAAATAACATGTAACAAAATATATGCAGAATCTGTATGCTGAAAATTATATAATTCTGCTGTAAGACACCAAAGACCTAAATAAATTGAGACACCATGTTCATAGGTTGAATGACTTGGTGTGATAGATGACAATTCTCACCTCATTTATCTATAGGTTTAATGCAATTCCTAATAGAATCCCCAAAATGTTTTTATAAACACAAGCATATTTTAAAATATGTACAGAAACTTCAGGTTCTAGAATAGCTAAAATAATTTTGAAAAAGAGAATGAAGTTGGAGAAATCACTGTACTCGATATTAAGGCTTACCACATAACCACATCAATCAAGACAGTGTGGTATTAGCAGGGGGATAGGCGGAATAGAGCCTAGATTTAACCCACACAAATATACCCAAATGCTTTTGACAAAGGTACAGAATTAACTCAATGGAGGTAGTATAGCCTTTTCAACAAAGATGCTGAAACAAGATCTACATACAAAAAAAGGAAAAGAAATTTGGCCTTAACTTCACATGGACCGTGGATTTAAATGTAAAACAGAAAACTATAAAACTTCTAGAAAAAAATTAAAATTTTTATCCAGTTGAGGAAGATACACACATTTCTAGCTTTCTGAGAGTTTTTATCATGAATGGGTGCTGGATTTTATCAAATGCTTTTTCTATGTCAGTTGATAAAGGATTTTTCATCTTTAGTCTATCAAAATGGTGGATGACATCAATTGATTTTCAAATGTGGAAGCAGCCTTGTATATATCGGAATATTTCCCTCTTAGTCTCAGTACATAATTCTTTTAATACATTGCTGGATTCCATTTGCTAGTATTTTGTTGTGGATTTTGGTATTAAAGTTCATGAAAACTATTGATCTATAGTTTTATTTATTTATTCTTTTTTAGTACTATCTTCATCCAGCTTTGGTATTAAGCTACTATTGTCCTCACAAATGTGTTGGAAAATTGTTTCTCCTTTTCTATTCCTGGAAGAAATTGATGTAATTATTCTTGGAATATTTAGTAAAGTTATCATGGAGCCATTTGGGCCTAGGGACTTCTTTTCCAGATTTTTTAGTATGAATGTAATTTCTGTAATGGTTTTAAGGATACTGTCCATTTCATCTTGGTTGAGTTTTGGCAGTTTGCAGTTTTTGAGTAATTGGTCTATTTTTTCTCATTTTTCAAATTTTTGAGGGCAAATTTGTTTACTGTATACCTTTGTTAGCTTTTAAATGGCTGCAAGATCTTAAGCAATGAACTCTATTTCATTTTAAATATTAGTGCTTTGATCTCTCTTCTCTCTTCCTGACTTTTTCTATCTAGCTAGAGGTTTTCTTGCTTTTCTTTCTATCTGTTCATTTGTTTCCAGAGAATGTGTAATTAATTGTTGAAGCACTTTCATGGGTAGCTTCCTTTGGTGTTGGCATCATGCATTTGCTTTTTCTGATTCAAGGTGTGATTGTTTTTCTAGTTATTGATGTGATGGTTGATTTTTGATAGCATCCTGGACATTTTGTCTATTATGTTAGGAACTCTGCATCTCATTTAAGTATTTTATTTTAGAAAGTAGTCACCCTGTTTAAATTTAGCATGTGGGTCTTGACCTACTTTTGTGGGCTGTAGTTCTGATGGCAATTTAATTTTGACAGGCTTGGTGATATTGTTAAATATTTTGGTGCTTGTTTTTTCTGGTGTTCCTGGGGCTCCTACTGGTCCCTGCTGGTGCTGCCTGAGCTGGCAGCAGGGATCCCCTCAGACCAGGATGTTAGGTGTCTCCGAGGGGAGAGTTGCAGCAGCTTCCCCCAGTGCTGTCTCTAGAGTGTCCCCATGTTGCTGGCAGGGGAAGAGGGCCTTGAACCCACAAGGACCAAGAGGGTTCCTGGAATGGGCCACTAACTGGAGATTGGCCCCTCCTGCAGGATCTGTCCACATGCTCCTGCTATCTCTGTACAAGGGAGCAACGTGTTACATGGGAGCAAACAGGCTTCCCACACTGGTCCCTTGTATGGCTGCGTCCCTTTTTCCATCCTGCCCACCTGCTCCAGTGAATCTGAGTTTTGCCAGAGTTGCTACTTGTTGTAAACATTTTAATGGCCTATTGTCACTGCCACCATTTCACTTAGATTTGGGACGTTTGGTATTGGGAGACAATCATATGCTGAGTTTCTGTTTTGTTTCCATTTGTGATGTAGAGGAGTGATGAAATGCCATGACTGATCCCACAGAGTCAGGGGAGGAGCTAAATGCTTGAATCCATTGCCAGATAAATGTTTCAGTCCACATTTGTGGCCTTTGGGAATGGTACTTTTTATGTTTGGAGACATAAATTCATTTTCATTTGGCTCACATAAATCAGGTTGTTCTCCCTGGCAGTGTTGGTCAAGGTGGCCTGCCAGTGTGGACAGCAGCAGGAGCTCAGCTCTCTGATTTGGATTGTTATCTTTCTCTCACAGACATAGCTCCTAAGAAAATTTAGCTTTCTTAGCTCCTTGGTACAGAGACAACCAAGGCAGGGCTTACCCTTTCATTGCCTATAAAAACATGATTACATATAGCACGCTCCTTCTCTATGCACGGAGACCACCGGTGTTACTTTTCGGTGTGAAAGATACCCATTTGCAGATTATTAGCTAATCTTCACCCTATCTAATATCTTGTAGGAGAGGGTAAGTCTTCTCCCAGTGAGAACAAAGACACATTTCATTCATGAATGCTGACATAAAGCCTTGGGTCTAGGTACTTCTAAGGCCTCTAAATTATGAAGTCCAGACTACACTTACAATTCGTGTGGTTTATGTTATCAAATATAAAAAGTAGTCAAGATGTCTCGGTGCAGGCTCATTGTCCTCTAAAGCCACAGATTCAAGGTCAATATTTGCTAAGTTGTCATTTGCCTGTAGAAGGGACACATCAGAGGGTAGAAAATAACATAAAGATCTGGACAGCAATTGTGGTGGGCAGAATTTCTAGAATGGCTTACCAAAGATGTCCTACCGTAAACCCTGCAACCTTTGAATATAATGAGACATCACTCTCATGACCAGGTTATGCTGACCTAGACGGGCTTATCTAGGTGGGTCCAGTGTAACTGTGGGAGCCGTGAAAAGCAGGAGCTATTTCCAGCTGGTGGAAGAAGAGAAAGTCAGAGAGATTTAAACCACAAGAGGAATCCAATGTGCTATTACTGGCTTGAAGATAGAATAGTTGTGTGAGAAGTAATATGGGTGCTTTAAGCAGCTGAGAGACGCCCCTGGCTTACAGCCAGCAAGGAAATGGGGCCTCAGCCCTGCAACTGCAAGGAGCTGGGTTCTGCTGACAGCCTGAATGAGCATGGAAGCTGGCTTCTCGGCAAGAGAGGCCCAGCTTAAATTCAGATAAAGGGAGGAGGGCATCCCGGAGCATTCAGTTTGTGGCAGCACCACCCTAGGAGGGTTGGGAAGCTAAGGTTGCATTCTTACTTTAAGGAGCTGATATAATAGTTGTATCTAATAAAGTATCTCCTTCCATCCCCAATTCCTTTAACTTCTCCCTGTGACACCAACAGAATCAACCAAAACCAGCCTGCTCAGAAGCCAGATGTCCTCCCTCAGGAGCTCAGCTTGCAGTGAAAGGAAGGATGGCCTCTCCAATGCCAGCAGCCGGAGGACTGCTCTAAGTGACAAAGGCAAGCTGGAAAGAGTCTCTATGGCCAGCCAGCCTCCCTTTCCCCAGTGTACCTGTTCCAGAAAGGGCTGGGTGTAGATATGTTGGGTAAAGCATATTTTAAATAAGCCCAGATTGCTTTCTATTCAAAAGAATCCCTCTTAAGTCAGGTCTGCCTGCATTATGACCTGGATTTTCTGAGAGCCGGCCTTATGCTTATTGTGCCTGGGTGTTCAATACACACGTGGCTCACACAACTATGGTCCTGCTGCTGGCCCTCCGTGGTTTGATTTTGAAACTGTCATTTTTCATAGTTGGTTTATTTTCTTCCCTTTCTTTAATGGATGATGCTATCAGATGAGCCCCTCTCTGCTCCAAATTGTCAGCCTTTTGGGGACTGCATATGAGGAAAATGTGATTTTTTTCCACTCAATTTTTATTACTATTGATAAAATTATTAATCTTAAAGTAATACTTTTATTGAAAAGTTTGATGCCTGTAATATTATTCTTATATTTCAAACAGTTGATAAATTTAAAATCCCGGTTCAATACACACATACACACAATCCCCTAGGGAGTAGGAAGTGGCCGGTGGCAGACGCACACCTGTGGCTCCTCAGTCATAGTTTAATTGAACTCTGCTTTCTTCAGTGCTGATCTCTGTGATGTCTTTTCCTTTTTTTTTTTTTTTTTTTTTTTTTTTTTTTTTTGTTGTTCTTTGAGACAGGGTCTCCCTCTGTTACTCAGGCTGGAGGGCTGTGGCAGGACTTCGTTCGGCTCACTGAAACCTCTGCCTCCCCGGTTCAAGCGATTCTCCTGTCTCAGCCTCCCAAGTAGCTGGGATTACAGGTCCCAGATAATTTTTGTGTTTTTCGTAAATATGGGGTTTTGCCATATTGGTCAGGCTAGTCTCAAATTCCTGACCTCAGGTGATCCACCCACCTTGGCCTCCCAAAGCGCTGGGATTTTGGCCGGGCACAGTGGCTCATTTTCAGTTAACCTGCCACATTTCCTAAGTGGTCTACATGCACATGCCTTAAAGGGCTTTTCAAACGATGATTGGGATATGATTTCTTAGCTATTTAACTAGCTCACGTTCAACAACACGCCTCCTTCTGAATGCAGCTCTTTCAACAAATATTCTTTTTCATTTATAAATACACATTTATATAAGGATATATTTAAAACTCCAAGTATTAATTTGAAAATTTGAACATACAATTAAACAGGACCTAACAGGTTTTTTGGTTTTCTACATAAAGCTGAAGAACCACAAAACAATCTATCAGAAATGAAAATGTTGATCAAGGCTCTCTTGTGTAATTTGGAGGAATCTCAAAGGTTGATACTGAGCAATCACCGGTTAATGGTGTTTTTATTGAACACTTTTTGGAGGTGTGTGTTTTCCAAATGAAAGAATGAATATGTCTCCTTGCCTCAAAACAATGTAGTGCTGTATTTACCCATGCATGGGTCTGTAATTGCAAAGGAAACTTGCCTGAGAGCCTGCTCTGACAGATCAAGATAGGTTCTCTGAAATGTGGTCCATTTATTAACTCTTAGTCACAGCTGAACCAAGACAGGTGTGATCCCTTTGCATTTTATGTAAAACCCGTATATGAGGAAAACATACAACTGCCTTCCCCTTCCACAGACATGAGCATTCTGCTGGCTGAGGAGTGTCTGGATGACCAGTCATCAGAAAAGGTGACCCAAGAAGGAAGCCAGGATTATGACCACAAGTGAGTTATTTAATTTGATGGAGACAATCCTGTTACGCTTTCGTTGGTTAACCATTAAATTTAAAACACCACCTCATATTCTTAGTTCTTCAGATGTGTCTTCAGAAAACTGGCTCAAGACCTATGGCTTGGTTGCCAAGAAACTCACCCTCATGGATGCCTTGTCAATGGCGGCGGTGCCCCACAGCTCCACCTATGTTCCGGTCCTGGACAAGCACGTCATGTCTAAGGTCTTTGATGAGGTAAACTGATTGTCTATATGTCCCTACTTGAGGTCATTTTCATTTTCTGCTCAAATGAAAAGCAGTCCAATTTCTTATATGGTTGTAACGGAAATGTATTTTAGCCATTGGGGGGGAACATTACTTGTAAAGGCAGTAAAAGGGAGAGAGAGACTCTTAAGAATTCGGGCGTGGTGGCTCATGCCTTTACTCCCAGCACTTTGGGAGGCTGAGGTGGGCAGATCCCTTGAATCCAGGAGTTCAAGACCAGCCTAGGCAACATTGTAAAACCCTGTTTCTACAAAAAGTACAAAAATTAGCCAGGCATGGTGGCACACACCTGTAGTCCCAGCTACTTGTGGGACTGAAATGGGAGGATCGCTTGAGCCTGACAGGTTGAGGCTGCAGTGAGCAATGATTGCCTGGGTGACAAAGCGAGATCTTGTCTCAAAAACAATGAAAATAAAAATTCTCTTTTTAAGCTGAGAGGAAACTGACCTTTGTGGGGTTGGCACTTCATGGTTCATTGATAATGGATAGAAGTGTGGGGCTGCAGAAATGTTTGAAAACTCTAGGTCAAAGTCATGAGTGAACATCAAATATCATTCCTTATGAAAGGAAAGGGAAGACTTGTGAGAGATCATGTCCTTCCTTTGCTTACCTTCTCTTCCTAAATTGAGTGGCACCTTTTGCATCAAAAAGACTTCAAAGGAAAAAGTTAAGAGAGCAAGTGAGCAAGCCACATGCTAGCAAGAGAACCACCAGACTGTCCTAGGCAGGTCCGGAGAGGAGAAAAACAGCTTCTAATAGGAGGGCATGGTAGGTTAAATGTGGAGGAAGGTCAAGGAAGTATTGAGAACTTAGCACTGGATTTGGCAACAAGGAAATGCTCATCTTTACAAGAATAATTTCAGTGGAACAGCTAATCTTGGGTCAAACTGCAGGGGGATGAAGAACACCAAAAAAATGAGAACATGAAGACTGAACCTCAGTGGTTCCTGGCAAATACAACAGCAACTAATGATTTAAATCGAAACATTTCAGTCTTTGCAGTCACTGAATGGAAACAATATCCTTAAAAGACCTGTCTCCTGTTGAAATCTTTGCAGAGGAAATGATACGATGCTTGGGGTTTGCTTTATAATAATTGCGGTGGTGGGAGTCGGGGAGGTGGGGTGGAGCAGGGGAGGAAGTAGATAAAATAGATTGACCATGTGTTGATCATGGTTACATTTGAATAAGACTTGATGAGGAGGGTAGTTTTACTATTCTTTCTGCTTTTTTGTACATTTGAGATTTTCCATGAAAAGAAGTTGAAAAGATCAAAGGCAGGAGAAAGTTTTTTTAAAAAAAATAATAATAACTGGCCTTGAAATAGCTGAGATTTGATGTCTTGGAAGAAGCAGACGAATTGGTGAATTTTTTTTCTATTAGTACATTTAAAAAATTATCCCCCATGGTGGCTCACCTGCCTCCTAGTTTGGCATGACCAGTGACTCTCCCTCCAGAGGCTGTGTGTGTGTTCTCCTCTAGGCTGGTTCCTGGCTGCTTTGTCTCAAGGTGAGTGGTCCTGTCCCTGGCTGTTACCCTTGGAATTGGCAGATTTGATTTATACCCGATTAGTCAGATATCAACTCACCACTTGAACTTGACTTCTTCTGGAAGCAACAGAGAGAAACTGAACACTGATATATTTCTTCTAGGGGGTTTGGGGACAACTTCTTTGTATTCTCTGTAGTTATATTACTATTCTTGAGTTTTATTTGGGACAAAATATGTTTAGTGAACTATACTTGGAAATAGAATTTTCTTGGGCTTATTATGCCTCCTTCTAAATGTCCCAACAAGCTGAGCTAGAGTGAAAAGTAAATTTCTTGAAAAATATATGGTAAGGTAGGGAAACAGAAGCATAAAATTCAAGGAAGACCCATAAAGGAAAGATTTATAGGCTGAATAAGTAAAAATTTTATTTTGCTTAAAAACATATGTATAGAATAAAGGTAAATCTCAGAAAAATACCTGTAACACATATGACAGACAAAAAGGGTCATAAAGTAATATCTTACATTGTGTGTCAGTATAAATCACTGTGTGTGGATGAATTAGTGTTCAGTCTGCAAACACACCTGCACACACATCCATATCATAGGGGAATGAGAAAATGATAAACACCCCACTGGAAAAATTAAGGAAAAAAAGAAAAAAGTCAAAACCATATTCATAAATATTTAACTTTGCTGGTAATCAAATATGTGCACTTAAAAATACAAATTGAAAATCAATTAGACACCACCTCCCCCATCAAATTGGTATGGTTAAAAAGTACTAGTAAGCAGTAATGGCAATGATAGGGTGGAATGGACACTTACATTTTGCTAGTGAGACTATAAATTGGCACATTCTGAGTGTAAAATATTCAGAAGACTTGAGGGCTTATATTTAACCCAGCAAATTATTGTATTACTGGGAATCTGTGTAAGGAAACAATCAGAGATACTGAAGAATATGTGCAGAGAATAATACTGCTGCCTCATAGCCAACAACGGAAAACAACACAAATTTATATAATGGAATGTCATACATTCATCAGATATCTCATTTCTGAAGAATAAGTAATGACGTGATTGAAAGCCCTCACGCTAAATGAAATATGCTAAATGAAAAAAATCAGAGTATATAGTATGTTAGAAATTTGGTTGTACATGTGACTGATCTAGGCATGGTACTTTTTCCTTCCCTCCCTTTTCTTTCACCAAAATGTTAACAGTTTAGCTGGATGGTGAGATTGTTGGAGAGGTTTGGTTGTTTTTTTTTAATGGACTTTAAAGTTTTTATTCTAATGCTTGAACTCTGAACTAATGCTTGAACTCTCAGTGTATTCATTATACACTGAGAAAAATGTTAAGAAAAACTGACCTGAAAGCAAATAATAAAATCATGTAAATGTAATGGGAACTTAATTTTTAATTGGCTACTTTATTTTTATCTGATAAGTAATATATGACTCATTCTTAGTACGTGAAATTTGAACGATACTGAAGTCTTTAGAGGAGGCTTCTCTCACAACCACTCCAATCCATGAAGGAAACACATTGAATAGTTTTGTGAATTTCCAATTCTTCTTCTACACACGCATGTCAGTATGTGCACACATACACATTTACACATAGACACATAAGAACTTTAATAAACATGAATAAGATAATACCATATACATTTATCATTTTCATAACTATTTTAAACATTTTGTCTTAGAGTTCTTTTCACACTGGTAGATGGTCTCATGCCTATAGTTGCAAGGTTCTTCCCCATTATGAATGGATATTTACATTGTATCCTTCCTTCCCCTCTTACAAACATTCCTGTAATGGGTTTCTTTGCACATAGATTTTTGGGCACATGTATAAATCTGTCTCTGGAATAAATTCCCTCAAGTCAGATGACTGGACCCAAAGGGGATGTGCATTTAAAATTTTGATAATTCAAATCATCCTCCAGATTCATTGTACATTTTCACTAGTATATCTCCACAGACAGAGTAAAATAATACTCTCTTCCTAAGAGAAACTCTGTATAATACTTGATAATCATTAGTCCTAGGTGTATAGGAATGTTTTGAAAACCCTGAAAGTAGTATGCAGACATAAGATCTTTATTCAGCCTATTATTTCCTCATTGGCTCATATGCTGAAGAAGCAAACTTAATATTCAGTTCAGCATTTAGAAATTTTTTCTCTGAGATGTATGTGATATATCTATACTCTATGAATAATAATATGCCTACTCTGAGGTTGTCATGGGATTAAAAGAAGTAATGCACTGCAGTAGAAAGTACTTAGCAGGCACTTAAAATGTTGGCTTTCATTATAAAACTATTTAACACATTTAAAGGCCTATTATATGCCTGTGTTGGGCTCTAGAATACAGTGCCAAACAGGAAAGCCGACATTTCTCCCAAGCACAACTGACAGTCTTGGGAAGAAATAAAAATGAAAATGAGTGAAGTTCTAGTTCAATGTGACGAGTGGGAAGTGCTGAGTGAAGAGGCGGGAGAGACCCCTAACCTGGTTTCAGTTGCCACAGAACTGAGTGGCATCCGAGGTCAGACCCAAGGGGAAGAGAAGGAGGTATGAAGGTGGAGAGACGGGAAAGAGAGTCCCAGGCAGTGGAGGAGCTCTGGGGAAGCCTAAGGGACAGAGAACATTTGTCATTCCAGAGGAAGTTTAGTGTAAGAGGAGAAGGTGATAAAGCTGGTGAAGGAAGGGCCTTGATTGAGTTAAGGATGTTGAACTTCATCCTGAGGGGAATAGAGGGGTTTTTAGCAGAGGAGAGAGATTAATTTGGCGCTTTAGCTAACAGAGAACAGTTGGAGAGGCATGAGGCTGGGGAGATGGGGTCAGTCAGGAGGCAGCATCTAGGTGGCTGAAACCAGTAGGCTGCGTGGCTGGAACACTGGGGATGGACCCAAAACTCTCTATAAAGTCAAGTCAATGATGTGGGCCTGAGAGAGAGAAAAATGCCAAGAGTGATTCTCCAGACTCCAGCCTGGAATGTCAAGCAGAAAGAAAATAAAGGATGAGTGTCCTATTCTTCAGAAGCACATTCTAGTCTTCTGCCTCTAGAACACAAAGAACAGTTCTCAAGTGCATCCCAAGGGCACTCGTGCTTGGTGCCTTTTGTGGCATTGTGAATTCTCATGACAACCTGCACATAGGTAGGCACCACGCAGCACACTCACCCTCCCTTATTCTTATTAAGACTCATCGTGATGACAGGCATATGCTGCAGTGATCTCCCATCTCACATCCAAAGCACGTTTGTATCTTTGATTCCCCAATATTTTCTGTCTGGAAGACACCCTCAGCTATAAATGGAAAGAATAACAAAATAATAATCTAAAATATCTCCCATTTCATGGGATGTATACTTTTTTGATATTTGGACCTTTATGAAAAAACAGACAAAAAGTAGAATGGAGTTGAAAAGGAAACACACTAGAATCTTAACTCACTTCACTGAGA